ACAGTATATTTTGACATTTTAAACAGAATGATTCCATAACAGGATATATATATATATATATATATTTGCTGTCTAAGACAAATAAAAAAAAGAAAACTATAGATTACAATGTCAATATTCATTCTAAACTATATTAATAATTAAAATCTCCATCATGAGAGTAATTTTATTGAATTTTTTATCTTTTTCACGTTTGATTTCTATTAAAGGTTATTTAAAAAGTTTTTTTTTCGTTCTGTCAAACATTTTTCATCATATATACTTTAAAATTATTGTAAAATAATTGTAAATTATTGTAAATATTGTAAATTATTGTATTAAAGTATATACTTAAAATTTATACTTTAAAATTATTGTAATTGTGGTATATGTCATTGCTCACTGTTTTACATGAATGCTTTCAACGTATTATTATGAAACATTTTACTGTTTAAAATGTGAAAATATTATTACGCACTTGAGAAATAGTTAAAAAAAACTCTGTTCTTTGAAATATTGTTTCAACAGTTAATTCAGTTTTTGAAAATTTCAGTTTGGTATCGCTGGCATTATTTATATCAGTTATTAAAGTTATATCTATTTTTTATAAGCTCTTTGATGCCATATTAAAATGATTGGATTATTTTTATGTTTCCGCAAGAGATAAACAAGCTAATGGGGTGTACAGTGATCAGAAACACTCTTTTATTGAGTTAAAAAACATCGGAAATTTCGTAGACCAAAGGGAAAAGCTCGGTTTATATCCATTTTTCACATAAATGACGCATAGATCATGCTCTTTTGCATTTATAGGATTACTATGTTTTAAGCGTGAAATCAGTTTTTCCTGAGTGTTATCATGCAGTAAAATTGGGTCTTAGTATGGAAAAACCTTTTTTTTTTTCGAGAGTAAAATCCATTTTTCTTTGAAACTATTCTTATATGCATTAAGAGTTCTTTTTCGTAGTCTTAATTTTGTTAATTATAAATATCTGTATTAAACATTATAAATATCAATATTTTACTTTATAAATATTTATAACATTGCTGAAAATTTATAATTTTATCGAAAGATTATAAATCTTGGGAAAGAACATAAATAGTTGTAATGTCATATTTTTGTAGACAAGTCTCTTGAGTCTGATTTATAAGTGAAGGGATTTAAATAGCCAATGAAAGAAAATATAGGAAATTTAATTTGATATTAACTATTTGACTGAATCATTTTATTTTCATCTATCGACTAATGAAAAATACCGGGGTCACTTCAATAAATGATAAATAATTTTTCTCTTTATTGATCAGAGTCATTTATTTATTATTGTTATTATTGATAATAATGAAATAAAAAAGCAAGATAAATGAGGATAATTTAGCCCTAACTCCCGGCTAGTTTGAAAAATCCTCTCTTTTTAAGAAAGCAAGATCATTTCCATTGAAAATTATGTTGTCAAATAAATTCTTTTTATTTTATAAATTTTTAAGATTTCTTAAAATATTATAAACTATAATACAGGACTGATTGTGCTCCGGAAAAAATCCGGATTTCCTGATTTTTCGCTGACAGTGATCCGGAAGTTTCTGGAGATTGAAGGTTCAGACGTTTAAAAAAATCATCGATCACAGAAGTCTCCGGAAATCGAATTTTCAAAGGTGGAACTTAAAAACTCAATTTATTTTATTTGTTTGCCAGAGAGATATTTTATAAGCTTATATTCATGATTAATATTCATTTTTTATCAGTAAATAGTTGTTATAATCATAAACTCAAGAAAGAAAGACTTATTTGCAAATTTTAATTACTTCTCCAGGTCATCATAGGAATGTTTAAATGGTATAGGTATGTGTAAAATTTTAAATATATTTTAAGTAAACTAAGAAATATTGAGAAAGAGGGGGAAAAAAACCTTGTTTAAATTTTTTTCAATTTAAAACTCAATAATAAATTTCTAACTCAAGAAATTTTCCGGAATTTTGGCTTGGGCTCACAATTATCCCTGATAATAGCTATGTTAATTATTTAAAAATAATCATGCAGAATTTTTAAATTAATTTTCTAAATAGTAAAATTATTTCTTTAAAAAATTATTTTACATGTTAATGGAACTCTAAAATTAAAACACATTTCTTAGCACATTTATCCCATGAACTCTTAGTTAGAATCTAATATGCATTCTAAATTTCTAACAATATTTTTCATCAACTTCCCTTATGTCTTTTTAAAATAGTTCCAAAAAAGCGAAAACTCAGAAATATTTCAGTTAATGTGTTTCAGTTGCAAATGATTAACAAAAAACAATTGGGCTCATTTCTTTTATTTTGCAGTAAATTTCATGGAAAGTAAGCACTTTATTGAAACTGCGTAGCATATATAAAATTTTTCTTTCTTCTTTTACATTTTTTTAAAAATGTAGTCATTCACAATTTACTTCAACTTACTCATGTAATAGATTTATAGAATTTTATTGTTCAAAAATTTAGCTTTAATCTTATAAAAAGTTACGAAACTGAGATATTAAAAGAATTTCTCGAACCTATAACTAAAAGTTGAACTGTATGTAGAATGAGGGAAGGAAACATGAAAATTGCCACCAAAGGAAAATGGTTTTGTAAAAACTCTCTGCGTCGTAAATGTATATATTTTTCTTCGGGAATGCAGATATTTATTTAAAATCATGCAAGAACATTTTTTTTTTAAACTGCAGAAATTATAATCAAAATTTTAAAATTCCAATAACTTTATATATAACAAGATTTTAAAACAGAACCTAAAAAAAACTATTTATTTTAGTTCATGTGAAAAATATTGCTTTGATATTTATTTCAATTTACTTAAAAGAGCGCTTTTCGATTCTGATTATTCCATATTTTTTTTTATATGCAATTGAAAATATTCATTAATTTTATTTGTAATTAAGAAATTAATTTATCTAAAAAAACTAACAACTAGAACAAAAGAATTTGTTCAAAAAAATAGCAACATTGAAATTAACTAAAGAAGTAAGAAAACGGCAGACAATCAAAAAAAGTACGTAAACTTGGAATAGATGTTTGAAGGTAGGTGAGAAATGCAAAGAAACTTTTCTCCTCTTAACTTAAAAAGGTGAGACCTCCCGTACTGACTAAAGCAATAAAGCACGTCCCCCTTTAACTTGATCCTCTGTCTTAATTGCGGAGGAGATTCCTTCCCCTATTCTTAAGCTGAAACTGTCACATGCCCACCAGCAGACCCCAAGATCAGATGTGACAACTGCTGTCACAGCGGATAAATATTTGTCTAATAAAGTTATTTTTTTTAGATATATTCTGAACCACCTGTTAATAGTTTTACTTCTACCCCTACAACACCTGTTAGCTCGCCTTCACCTCTTTCAGGTAGGCACTAATTTCACTCATAGTGCTGTTTTAGTTCTTGGGTTTGAAATTAGCTCTTAAAATAATTAAAATAAATTGCTTTTAAGGTGTAACCCCTTGGTCTCGCAATAGTGTTCATACTGCTCCTACAACAAATTCAGGTTACTCCGAAGGGTCATTAATTCCATTGGTAAGTAAATTAGAACAACTATCTTGATAAACTGTCTATATGTTGTGACTTTTGGTATTTATCTAATAAAATTCAGCATCTGTATTAAAACAGCACTAAATCTTAACTATCAAGATCGAAAAAATTTCTAAGCTGAAAGTGTTGCATTCTTTTATAACTGTTTCTATCTTGTAATAGCAATTAGGGGGAGATACACTTTGGCATCCTTAAAAAATTTCATGTTAAGTATAAGTTGTAATTTTTTTTTTTAAATTGAAATACTTTAAAAATTGTTATTTCAATTCAATAAATGCTTTGTAACTGAAATATGTTCATTTGAAAGGTACTTTTTTAAACGTGTAGTTTAAAATGAATGAATGTAAAATTTTTTCTCTGTTAAAAGGAAATTTAGATTAATAGGTTGGTTTCAAATTTGTTAGAAAGTTTACTACGTAATATCTTTATTTCTTAGTGTGCAAAGTATTATAGAATTGCTTATTTACATTTTTACTACTTGTATATTCATTCATCAAGGTCCATTAATAACATATTTGATAAGAGCTGCCGAATTCCAATAAGAAACCAAATATCTAGTGACCGTGCATCAATAAACTAATTAAAAGCTTGCTTTTAAAAAACAATGTCTAATTTTTGTTGAAATATTTCATAAAGTTTTTCATTTTCAATGTTATAAATTTTCTCGTTTATTATTTGATAGAGAAGAGGTTTTGCCAATAAATTCCTGGAATGGTTGCCTGCATTTATACTGGTGTCATTGGAGGGGAAATATTTTTTTTAGAGATTGGGAGTACTAATAACGAAAACGCAGCCACCTGGAATTAATTTCTGTTACTGTCGGCGTTAGCTGCTGGTAATTTCTGACAAAACTTATTTTTCATTTGGCTAACTTTGAACTGTTGTCCTTGAACATGGCGCACCTCCTCTCCCACTAAGATGAAAATGTTGAGAACATTCAAGAAATAGTGTATGTGGATAGGCGATTTTCCATTGATGTTATTGCCTCTAAACTTGGAATTTCACATGGGAGTATTCACAGCATTCTTCATGATGATTTACACATGGTTCCAAAAATAGTATCACCTGAACAAAAAGAAGTGAGAGTGAACATGTGCAGGGTTTTGATTGGCATGGTTGATGAAGAGGATAGCTTCTTGAAGAAATTTTTAACTGGTTACGAGACATGTTGCTTTCTCTACGATCCTCAGACAAAACCTCACTGAAGTGAATGTAAAGCGAAAACATCACCAAGGAACAGGGCTCCCACGGTCCTTAAAAGTTCTTAACTGCTTAATTTTAATTTGAAAAAATAAGGGCCCTTAAAAGTGTTTGATTTTGGTTAAGGTTTTTAAAAGTTCTTAGTTTTCAGTATCATTATAATTAATAGGAAAATTTTTTTCTGTCTTAAAAAAATATTAAAAGCAAAAAGTCGTTCTTTTTTCACCTACAATGAGACCATACATCATAGGTAGAGCATTTTAGAGAGACAAGAAGGAATGTGTGTAAGGTGAGGGGAAGAAATCATGCCCTTTTTTTCTTTAATATATTGGTTCTTTTATTATAAATTCTTTCTTTTGCTGAGAACGGTATCCCATGAGGAGAGGGAATCATTCTAAAGGAAAAGAATAGGGCATGGAAAAGAAAAATACTGCTCATGGAAGAGATCCTACTTTTTTGAGAGGAGGGGGATAATTCTAAGGTAATTTAATTTAGTTCTACTGGTAGCGCATATTCTTATAGTAACGAAGTAAAGCCCTAATAAAAGAAGTAACAAAAAATTTTTGCACTTGAATCCATAACGGAAACTATTTCTAAAAAACTTGAAGAATTAAATCTGTATAATATTTCAATGTGTAATTAATAACAGTAAATTTATAAAAATCAGTATCATTTTTTTAAAATTTCCACTTGTTCAACAGTCCCAAATGTAAACAGTTCTGTAATAAATAGGGTTTAAAAAAATGACGATATTTTTTAAAAATCCCAGCCTACCGAAGTTTTTTGTTGTTGTTGTTGTTTTAATCATAAACCTGGGGTTAATCAGGTTTTTGATGATTTGATGAAAATACTAGGAAATACTTCACATTTTTATTTCTGATTACCTAATAAGAATGCACAATTTGCTTCGAACAAAGAAGTTAAATATTTGGTTACTATTTATAATTTGTTTTGTTGCTATGTAGAATTTTTTTTCGATATTTTAGATTGTTACGCCATTATTTTTATTTCTTCAGGATAAACAGATTGTTATCTAAAAAATTAAATCCAACTCAATTAAAGGATCCCAAATTTTTTTAAATTATAGTTTATTAAAATAAAATTTAGACATAAGATTTTATTATTAATTATTTTGTTTGGTTAATATTGCAACTTAATAATACTGTTTTGTTTTTTTAAATTTCTATTCAACTTTTGGTTACTTTAAAATAAGTTGAAATGTTTTTCACCAGATTATTTAGTAATATTATGTGACGTTAATTCCTAATAACAGTTTTGGTTGGAAATAATTTTTATAAAGCTAATTATAAAATAAAAAAAATTGCTGTTTAGTAATAATTTCAAAATGGTTATGTTACATACCATTTTTAATGTGTTTTTCTTAAAATGTTGCAAGTTTTTTTAAAATTTTTTATAAAATGTTGCATGATAGGGTGATATTATAGGATTACTTTTTAAAAAGAATGCCACTTTTAATATTAAACTTAATTTGTAATAAAAATAAAATATCAAATCATAGCAATAGTAATTAAGAAAGGATGTTAAAGAAATATTATAAGTAAATGCTATTAAATTATGAAAAAATAAATAATTTATTTCTTAATAAAAGAACCTTACCAATTTTCTGGCCATAGAAATGTGCTGACAACTTTAAAAATCATTTTAGACCATTATATGGTTTGAAAATTATAAATCTTCTCAAGTATAATTGTATTTTTATCCTATGAAAATTTTTATAAAATATTTATTGCAATGAATTTAAAAAATGTTAAATGAGGCCTTATGAAAAAAAAGTAGAACAATTTATAGTGTTTGGATATTAGTAAGGCCTTGTATTTACTTAGGATAGGACTTAATTTAACATGACATAGTTTAAAAAAACTCTCATGCCAACTTTTTAGTATTAATTCTTTTGTTATATACCCTTATAAATAAAACATTTTATTTATTTCTTTTTAGTAAAAAAATTTTTTTTTGGCGTTATTGAATATTTAGCTGGATTAGCCATAACTGAATATATTATGTATGCCTGCAACGAAATATAAAACTTGTTCTAATAATTTTTTCAATGTTTTCCCCAAATTTCTTTCTTTATTCTTTTTTTTTTTTTTTTTAATGTATGAAAAAAATTGCAAGTCTTAATTTCTGCACTTAATTTCATAAACTGAAGGGAAAAAGTATAAAATCTGATTCAATTTCAATTAAATCTTTAAAAATCGAGTACAGATTAGTTTCATAGATGCCATTAACCCTTAACAATTTGAAAATATTTCAAGTTTATTTCCCTCCATTATAATTTAATATTTAAAGAAATTATAATTAAATATATTAATGATTGATTTTTGAGACCAATTGCGTTACATTGAATGATTGGATACAGTAATTAAAACTGAAATGCCAATTTTTGAATAAAATCCTCCATTTTCTATTTGTTAAAAGAGTGGGAACCCTGAGAAAGGAAAAATTTCGTTTGTGTGAAAGCCGGGAAAAAGTAATGTTGGAGGTGTTTTTCGATTACAAGGATGTCATTCACTATGAATTTATTCCTGAAGGCCAAACTATCAATAAAGAACTTAACTTGGAGATCCTTAAACGACAAAGAGATACAATCAGACAGAAACAACCTGAAAAATGGGCTGCAAACAATTGGTCTCCTTTACAAGACAATGCTCCCCCACATTGCTCTTTGATCATGATTAAGTACCTTGCCAGACACAATATTTCTAGTCTGGAACACCCTCCTAATTTTCCCTACCTAGCACCACGGTATTTTTACCAGTTTCCACGGCTGAAAATGAAATTTGAGGACCTCTCAAACAATAGATTCCAGGAGTATTTTGAACAGTTATACAAACACTGGAAGAATTGTGTGAATGCAGGAGGAAAGTACTTTGAGGGCTAATAAAATAAAATAATTGTTCTATTTATTTTAATTATTTGTAATTGCCCTATTCCGGGAACTTTTTGACTCTGCTACTTCTGTAAAATTGAAAAGAAAGTATGTTTTAATAAAATAAAGGTTGTATTTAATACTTTTGATTAATAACAGATGTATTTATAACTACACACTTTTTGTAGTTTCTATGAATTTGAATTAAATTGCAGAATTACATATTTGTCCTACATTTTAATGACCAATTTTCTCTAGTGCATTTTTTTTTTTTTTAAATTTATGAACCACTCAGTTATTTTATTAAGTTAGTTGCAAAATTCAAAGAAGGCCTCTATTTCTGGCATAGACATAATTTATTCCAAAAGCTATTCCCGACAATGTTGCAGCTTAATTTAAAAGGGAATGCAATTGTTTTAAACTATTGTACATGAAGAAGATATTTATGTCCAAAAAATGTAGATTTTATTATGTAAGTATGAAAAATTATTTCCCAAATTATCCCTTGTAGTGTTTACATTTAGTCCCATTCAAATATTCTATTGAATCATAATTTTGGTTAATATCAACCATTATTTAATGATATAAACAGGGTATCTGCGCACCTGGAAAGTCACGAATTTCAGTATTGAACAAAATTTGTCATGAAATGTCATGATTTTTGCTATTTTTTAAAAAAAAATCATGGAAAGTCATGGATTTATGTCTCCAGTGTTGCAAGTGCTGCGCCGATCCACGCCAATTGTGGAAACCTGCGCCTACATGCTCCAAATTGAAGTAATAGGCTTAAATTGCTCTAATCTGCCCCAAAAGGGATAGTTTACCCTGGGTATCGCCAAGTCACAATTTTGCGGCAACCCAGCTACTGCCATGTGGGGGGTTGCTCTGGGTTCAGTGGGAAGGATTCTTGCACTCTCATGTGCAATTCTGCTTCATTTTGCAAGATATTCTCAATTTCAGGTTTCATTTTCCACTCTCTGAAATGGAACCGAAACTTAACTTTAATTTTCGGGGACGGTGCAACAGAAAGTACAATTATATTCAAGGAATTACAAAGTACAAATATTCAAGGAAAATGTAATTACTAAGAAGGGTTATATTATTTTTAATGAAAAATACATTATTTCTTTTCTGATAACCTTTTATGTTTTAGTTAAAACCGAATTTTCTTACTTCTGTTCTAATTTTATTTTTAGCTTGCATGTCTGATTTTTTTCATTTTTTTTTATTTTGTTATTATAAAAATGTAGCAAGGTAGACTTGAAGATAGACTTGATGAAGCTATTCATTTGCTCAGAGATCAAGCAGAGGTACGATCGTAGTTCTTATAATTTTTTTGTTTAAGTTTTAGATTTTGAACCAGTAAAAAATATTTGATTAAATGAAGTTTCTGGCTTATAAAGAACTTGTTATGAAACTTCCATTATAATGTTATTAGTTTTTAGTTATATTATTTCGTCATCTGTTCTATAAGCTTTTAACTATTTTGCATGCTTAATTCACTATTTTTGGTTTTGCATATTTTATAATTTTATTTTAAGTTAACTAGCTCAATTTATCTTTTCTGACATTTATCTAACCAAATTAAGTAGGAAGGACCGTCTAGTTTATTTTCGTTACTCTTTCCATTGTAGTTTTTCCATTTGAAGAAGTAGCAGAAACTAACAAATTCTATTTTCAAACATCTTTCTAGTCAAGCATCTTTCTTATCTTTGTACTATCTAAATTTTTTTAATATTTTTTAATCTTGTTTAAATTTGATCTATGAGTTATAAATGTTTTAATCTTCATTTTAATTGATATATACTAATTGTTACAATTTGTTCTGTTTTATAGTTAATGCTCTTGACTCATTATTTTTCTGTTTAGTTAGTTTTTGTAATGCTTGTGAAAACATAAAAATGTTCTAATTATTATACTTTTTTTAAGAAGTCAGATTCAGAACTAATTAAACTGATTTAAAAGAAATTTGCTAAATATTAAACAAACTTTTATTTATTTAATTAAGACTTCTGTCAGATTCTCCTCAAGTTTCATAGGCACTGTTGGAGTACATATCTGTTTCTGGTTAGCTAACTTGAGCTTTTTTGATTTTTTATGAAATTAAAGTTATATTGTTGTGCATAATATGCAGAGTTGTTGCAATAATTGGACAAATCGTATTTCCCTGGGTTTTTGATCATAAAAAAATTAAGAATAAGGATAAAATAGATAATAAATGACTAGTAAATATTATTTGTATGATGTATTAAAAATGATATTTATTTGTTAGGTATATGCTAACATAGATTCATAACTTTTCCAATTCTTATCGGAAAAATATTTCTCCAAATAATTGAAGTAGTAGCAAAATTTTATGCTTTATTTACCATTTTTTTACCCAACACACACTCATATATAAATAACTGCAATAATCATCTGGAGCAATAAGTATAAAAATGTTCGAAAAACTAAAGACATATTTTGTCTTTATTATTATTATTACTATTATTTTCTTTTTTGAATTCCGCTATTAATATTGTAGGTGCTAAAATTTTGAATTTAGCAATTATGCATTTGAAAAGCTAAAAGAATTAATTTTTAATGCAATCATATTTTAGCAAATATTAAGTCATTTATATGTAAATTATGATCTCACACTTGCTTATTTTAGACATTGAATAATGGTGCAAATCTGACTAATCACTCAATAAGTGTCCGTTTTAGCTCAGTAAAATCAAAGTTTTTTTTTATTTATTTATAAATTTTTTTTAGAAATTTGATTATTTTAATTGACATACTCCCCTTCAAGAGGGATGCATTCATTCCAGCGCGTTAACTTTTTGATTCCTTTTTTGTTGAACGATTTTTCTTTGTTTTCAAAATAAGCCTAAGTATCAACAATAACTTCATTTTGGCCAAATTTTTTCAACAATGTCATTTAATATCCACTATTGATAGTTTTATCTTTTTCAAGTTATACGATGAACAAAATACATTGTGTGTCCCTAAATACTGAAGTCATAACTTTGCTAGCTGACTTTCGAGTTTTTCGTCGCTTTAAAAGACTTTCACCAACTGTTGTCCACTCAGCTGAAGATTTTTTGATTCAGGAGTGTAGTATTGAATCCATATTCCATCGGGTATCACATAATAACGAAAGAAATCCCTTTTATTTTACCTTAATAGTTCCAAAGAGCATTCTGAATCCAAGACACTTTTTTGTTTTGGTCCGGTGTGAGCAAACAAGGCACCCATTTCGAAAGCGACTTGCGCATGTTTAAATTTTCAATGTAAAGTTGTAAACACACTACTTTTTGATATCTTTTAGATGTCGGCTATCTTACATAACTTCATTTGACAATCTTTCAAAACTATTTTATGGATTTTTTTAATGTTTTTTGGAACAATTGCTGATTTTGGACGACCGGAGCATTTAGCACCAAAAGTCTCTTTACAACTGCTTTTAAATTCAGCATACCAGTCAATAATAGTTGATTTCTCTTGTGTAGAATTTCCATAATGCTTATCAAGCCACTGTTTTGCTTCAACAGTATGTTTATCAATCAAAAAACAATGCTTAATCAAAACATTCTTTTTTATCCATTGTATTAAAAATTACAAAACTAGGATCACTAAAATCACATGAAATTTTGACAATTATCGTGTGAAAGTTGCTTTTACCCAGAAATCATATGGTTCTGTTAGCAGTGGTGCCTACATATCAAACAAGAGACTTATTGAGTGGTGTGTTATTATTATGTGTTTATATTAAATTAACTGTTTACTTAGTGTTTGTGTTAAACTTTTATCTATTATTTGTGATAGTGAAAACATAGTTTTCTATCTTTTATTTAATAGCAGTCTCGAGGAGTAATGGAAGAACGCCTAGATGATGCAATTAATATATTAAGAAACCATGCAGAAGGACCAGGTATGCAGCCAGTGCCTCCAAATACTGCATTGAATGATATCTCACCTGTCACTGCTCATTCTAACGGACTCATCGCTGCACAATCTTATCCTGGGATGGCAATTATTTCCTTGGATCCCCATGTGGTACATCACTATGTTTTCACTTAATTAGTAAAATGTTATTTAAAATCAAATTTTATTTTATCTAAGTGTATATTATTCCTTTCAAGGCTGGACCCACAAATCTTCCCGAAAATGTACTAAGAAGTAGAATATCACAACCAAGTTCTTCTGGGCAAATGCCAGGATCCCAATCATTTGGTAACATAACTTAAGATGTTTATTTTATTGTTTGCATGATGATTTCATCTTAATTCACAAGTTTTAAACTTTAAACTGTTTCCTTTCAATTTTGTAGTTTAGTGCTATTTTATGATAATATAGAGGAATAAGTGAATCACTAATTAGAGTAACTCTTCTGACAATTCATACGTACTTCAAGCACTTAACATCCCATTTATGCAATTATTAGATTATTAATTAATGTAAGATTTTATTTATTATTAACTTGTACTCATAGATTATTTTGCAGTTTAAAATAAAGGAAAAGTTCATATTCAAATTTTTCTATTGTGAAATCTTTTAGAATTGCAATAACTTTTAAAAAGGTCAGCGCATTTAACTTAAATGTTATTGGAAGTTTTAACTAACGCATGACAGAGGCTTACAGTAGAACAGTCTCAAATAAGTTTGGTGTTTTTTTTTCTGTATAACAAATTGCACTGTCTAGAGCTAAGCATTTTAACCTAAATTTCATAGCTGTTGACTGTTCCAAATTTTATAGATTTGTTCCTAATTTTTAAATGAATTCCAAAAATTTGATAAGTTATTTTTTTAAAAAGAAAAAACTAAATTTTAAAAACATTTTTGCATTTTTGATATTTTTAGCCTAGTCTTTGTTTTTCTCATTCTAAAGTATTTTGTTCTTTTAATTTCACCAAACATTATATCTGATTGCTCTTGTACGTGTGATCACTTTGACGGTTATGCAATCTCTAGTTTGGGAGGAAATGCATGTGCATAAACAAATCGTGAGGATAAAGTTTGTGTCATTCTGAGACTGTAGAAAAATCGCAGGATTAAAAAATATTTGAACCGATATTCAACTGATTTTGTTTTTGTTTTCAATCAAAATTCATGTGGAGGAGAATCTTGTGCTTTTTGTACTGCATACAGTTTGGATATAAGCATAAGGTATGACGGTAAGATTGATATTGTATGTAACTCATGGAAAAGGAGCAAAACTTAAAACATATTGAAAAAGGATAGCATTTACACAAACTTCTATATTAAATTTCTTACTTTCTTCAAGTAATGATCTGCAATAAATTCATGCAGAAGTAAAATTTAGTAGTTTTTAGTATTCCAATAGTTGCTGCTAATCATTTCATAAACTTACCACCAGTCATGTTTCTAAATGATGAGAAATATTCTTGCTGAATAACTAAAATGTTGCATATAGTTAAGGAAATTGCAACAGAAAGTACAAAAAGCATTGTAAATTCTTTAAACACTAGCCTTTTTTCCATTGCTACCTTTAAGAGTAATAATTCTGATGATCAACTATCCAATTGTTACTTTTTTTAAAAAAGTTCTGAAAGAATATGCTGCAAGATTTTTCGAAGCTTTCTCATGAAGGAAAATAAGAAAGCCGCAGTTTAAGTGCCTTACACTTGAAGCAAAGCTATAATTTTAAACTTTATGTACCATCTTGCTGTAAAGAATTATCTGGGCTTTAGAATGGACAAAAAATAAAAATATCTTGTAAGTTACTAAACTTCTTTAAAAATTGTCAATTTGGCTACAATTGCGACATTTGGTAAATACCTCAACTATTAATATTAGTAATTGGATTGATTCAAATTTAGTTATTCGTGTAAAAACGACTTAGAAATTTATTAAAATTTTAGCAAATTGGGAATTTATTTTGGAATAATAAGGTAAAACAATCGAATTATGAGAGTTTGCATGATTAATTTTTATTGATTGTATCAATACTAATGAAAATAAATCTACATTCAATGGCGATAGCTTTGGGTTAATGGAGTTCTTCATTAAAGACATTAATGTTAGAACAAATTTTAGAGCCCTGGTAAACAAGTTTGCAAATGGCAGCTTTCTTTTGATTAGGGGGTCAAGTAAAAAGTTATGAGGGGAGGGAGACAAACTGCAAAAGATTTCTAATTAACAGTGGTAAAGAATTCTTTGTTATGAGGAGTATTAGGAACATCTTAAAAAGGTTAATACAGTAGAGAACCATTGATCCGGTATCCAGATAACTGTGAAAAGTTTTGCTCAGTTTTCCCGCCATTTTAAACCAGAACGATTATGAAAAAAAGCGGCAATTGGACTCATCCTTGAAGTTGAGTAGAGGAAAATGTGAGGAAGGGGTGAATCCCCCCCTGTTTACGCAGAGAAAAGTCATATCTTCCGTGACTTTGAAGATCTTTAGATCAAGAGGAGGCAGGGAAGGGACGAATGTTTTATTTTCTCCCTTAGGCTGTCAATCAAACTCAAAGGAGTGGCATGCTGATTTTGTTTTCTCTTTGACTTACGAGGGGGTGGAGGAAATGCATTGCAAATGCATATCAGTGAACAGAAGATGAAAGAGAAAAATATATTTATCTATTTGACATCGATTAATAAAAATAAAATATTTTTCTTTTGAATCAATTATAATTCTTTGGATGTGCGGTATCATTTGCAAGTTTTTCTTGCTGTGGAATCATATCTGCTTTCACTAACAATCGTGTTTTTATAAAAAGAATAAAAGGAGAATTGTTTATTAATTTAAATATACGATTATTTTATGAAGCAGATTGCCGTTTTGTTTTTCTGATTCCATTACGTTTGATTTTTTTTCTTCTTTTCACGATAAATTTCGTACTCAATAAATTAATTCTTTTCATTCATAAATTTTATCATTAGTTTATTTTATTTATTTTTTTATTTTAATTCCATTGATCTTACCTTGTTCCAGGTTTTAATGTTTATGTTAGTGCCTTTAACTATCTTTTTGGTTCGATAATTTTCAAGTGTTGTTTTTATTTAGATTAATAATTTTTCCTTTTATTTTATCGTCCCCCCGTATAATAAGGTATGAAATATATTGCTTTATTTAATCATTGCTTTTGTTTATATTAGTTAATTTAGGAATTGTACTTATTTTTAAAAAATAAATATGAGAATTTTGTATTTTTTAAACTTGTTTTTCTTGTCTAAACTTACAAATTTTTTTTATTCTTTTAAATGTTATTTTTCTATCATTTTTTTTCTTCTTTTTGGATTTAGGAGTGCTTTTCTTTTTCTCTAACTTTAAAATGTGTTACACTTTTTCCTTGTAATTTGGGTTGGATAAAACATCGATTAACAACACTTTTTGGTCGATCCAGAGAACCGGGAAATTCAGACATCCGGGATAGCGATGGTCCCGAACATCCCGAATAATTCGTTCTCTACTGTACTTATTTTCTTGTTTAAGCATAAATTGAATGCAAGGATCAATCAAATTCATTCAAATTTTGAATGTAATTAATGTGAGTATTGATCACAAAAGCAGGTAGATCTTGAACTGCTAGTTGAAATTTTTGTAACTTATAGTTTTGTTTTAAATAATGGTTTAAAAGCAACTTATCAAATTTGTTAAAAAAAATTATTGAATCTCTATGTTATTAAATGTTGCATAATTTAGCTATTTCAAGTATTTAATTTCTGCTATAAGTTTGAAGTCTGTTTCAATGTTAAATAGAGCATCACTTACTTTCTTACATGATATATCTACTAAAATATTTGCAGGATTACCCCCAGACACTGTTCCAAGTTTAAAAGATAAAGTAAAAGACGTTGATAAAACAGACCTCAATAGAGTGAAGTCTACTACACCTAATGCTAATTCCACCCCAACAATTAGTACGCCAACTGGTAATAGTGTTACTGGAACGCCTCCTGTTTCATCTCCGACATCAACATCCTCAGCTAATACAAATCTTGGTCCTTCATCTAAAGGAGTCAAGAGATCTAGAAATAGGTTGTAAGTATTTATAAACTCTTTAATCAGAATTCATTAAGAATTTTTTTTCACTGCTTGTATTATGCCATCTACACTAATCAAACATCTACTTATCAAATTAAGTCAAAAACAGGGTTCAAAATCATAGGTAGTTGGTTTGCTGGCCTGAGACTATTTAAAATCAAATCAGAATGCCATGTAGTAAGAAAAAATTTCAATTCATGGTTGCCATTCCACAGGGAGAATAGAGAAAACTTGGAAAATACAAGGAATTTAAAAATCGCCTAAAATGAAGGGGGAAATGCGAGTTTTTTTCCTTTCAAACTAGGAAAATGCAGGGAATTTTATTTCTTATTTTCCTGTTTTAAAAAATTCCTTATTTGGCACATAAGTCTTAAACTTTAATTAAGCTCTTAAGTTTTTTCTTGAAATCTTTATTTGTGTAAATGTCTATCCTGCTACAAATTAAATATATATGCATAGTATTTATTTCCTAATTAAACTTTAATCATATGTATTCCTTTTGTAGTAGTTCAGGGGATGAAGATGATGTACCTGAAATGAAAGCTGAAAAAGACAAAGAAAGGCGGCAGGCTAATAATGCAAGAGAAAGGTATGAAGATTTACTCTTTTATGACTATATTTTTTTATAAATTGAAATTTTTTTCATGTTTGAATTCATTGATTAGTTAATGATTGTGAACCCAATGATGAAAAGTTACGTTTTTTATACTTGCATAACCGTAAAGTGGAAATTCTTAAGTGAGATGATAAAGAAGAGTGACTTAGGTAAAAAATATAGGGTTTTTAATAGTACTTACATTAAAAAGATCAAAGATGACTTTTAAATGAAAGAAATTATGTTAAAGTGGAATCGCTGTATTTACCTTAAAAATCAACTAGATTATATTTTTTTAAAAATATTTGTACAATATTTTAATGCATAAGATTATCAAGTAAAGCATATTGACTTGGAATATCAGTTTCTCTGTTTTAACTTTATAGGATCATTTAATGCCAGTCCATTTTGAAGAAAATTCCTCAACTTATAAAATTTTTATCCTGATTTTTCGAAATTCTCACTTCATTAATAATATTCAGAAAATTATTAAATGGCTGAAAAAGTTATTTTTATTTTATTTGCCACAATTGCTCTTTCATCACTACATATTAAACTATGGAAGAAAAATGATTATCTCCTAAAATGCAACTTAAAACCTAAATATTTTATAGTTATTTTATTCAAAATGTAGAAAGCTGTCAATTAAACTTAATTTTTACACAAAAGTTCATTATATGCATACACAACAGTCCAGTTTTGCAGTCATTCGATGGACAAAGTTGAGTAACTTCAACTGGTAATCTCTTTTCTACTGTTACAATCAAAGATGGTTGAAAGTGCATATTAATATCTGATTAATAATTTCAAAGTGGAAGCCAAAGGAACTTTTCTAGGTTTGAAAATGTCAATAATTTTTTGTCTTCTCAAAATGTTTTTAATGTGTAAAAAATGTGTTAAAAAGATTTTTTCCGAATTATATTTTTCATGTAATTTATGACTGCATCATGACTTATATTTGTGCAATTTACTAAGCGCATTTTGAAACAATGTATAAAAGCATTATGATTTGCACTTATTATTTTTTTCGGGAAAAGAATAATTGATTTTAAAAGCTTACAAACATTTGAAAAAAAAAAAAAACTGAAAAAGTTTTTGCCAAAGTTTGCAGAAACGAATTTCTGAGTTAAAAAAATAATTCTCTGTATATGGGTAGTTTAAAGGATCAGTCCAGAATGACCCTATTTTGTTTTAATATTAATATGCTTAATAGACTGTGTCCGTTGCTATCCATAATTTCTTTTCCTCTATGAAATATTCCATGTTTGTAGGTAAATTTTAAATGTTGAACCCTTAGTTTAGATAATAAATATTAAGTTAAAACGTCAATTTAACGATAAAACACAACATCAAATTTGTCAATTATTAACAGCTTTTGATATGGAAGCTTGACTATGATTAATATTTGCTAGTTATTGATTTACTTAGTTCAAAATATGTAATTATATAAAGACTGAAAAAACAATTTTTTTTCAAGGTTTGAATATTAAAATAATGAGAAATTTTGTCTTATTTTGAATTTAAGTTATAATGCTTATACCATGCCCAATATTATTAATTAAAGGCAGGATTAACTAGACATTCGAAAATAATAGATGCATATTATATGTAATGTTTTTTATATATTTAAAAAATATATTTAAGATCCCTGATTTCTTTGATAAGCAACTGAAAATTTTTTTTTCCTCTTTCGAACTGGCTAAATTATCTGTTTCGCAGTAAACTGTTTTATTTACATCTGTTACTGTAGAATTAAAAATTTAAATTTTTTTTAATTACGAAACAGAATATGGGTTCTAAATGTTTAGTAAATATTTTTCTTTTGTTAATTGTTGCAAATCTCAAAAATTTCGTAGCCTTTTTTTATTGCATATAAATGTTCTATTCCTTCCCTCTGTACATTGAGAATTTATAAGTCTCAACTCTTTGTTTTTTAAGATGAAGCTTAACTACTGAAAAATGTTCATATTTTGCTGTTTTTGTCAAAAATATAAAAAAAAATTAAATATAATTTTTTTTTTGTAGTAGAAGCATTTCTGTTTATAATAACATAATAATAAATGTGCTATGATAATTTTAAATTCCTATAAGTTATTAATTTTACAAATGAGATATGTATTTTGTTAAAATCCCATATCTATATAATTCACTAGTATATAGTTCACTAATTGTTTACACAAAGTTTTGAAGACATATAGAGTAAGGATAGAAGAATGAACACCATTAAAAAATTGTTTCGGAAAAATCTTTTTTGTTTAAAATTTCTGTTTAAGAGTTTATTTTCTTCTCCATAGTCATTTGTTGCTATAATATATCTCCTTTTTTAAAAAAAAAAATTGTTTCTATGTTATACTTAAAAGAAATTGGATACAATTTGTTTTTAGGTGATTCGACCATTTGCGAATGTCTATTTGCAGACTTTAAACAGATTAATATCAGTTAAAAGAAATCAGGCAACTCTTAGTGTCATTTACACTTATTCGAATTTTTGCTAACTTTTCTATATTTAAATTTTTATAAGTTTAAAAAAGTTATTGTTATGGGCATAAAATATTACGTTAAATCCTTTAACAGCCAAGTTTAAAAGTTTAAAAATGTTTTAAATTATTGAAAGTAATTTAAAATCTTAGTAAGTAATACCAAGAGTTATTTCTTGAAAACTTATTAGAACTTCTTGATTCTTTTTCCAAACTGAGCTATGCAGTTTTTAAGTCAGCTAATCTGACTTTCAGAAATGATAGAATTGCCCTTATGTAAATCACTGGTTAGATTCTATATTGTTTTACTAAGTCCCATATCCGGACGTTCATTTTCCAGAAGCATTTGTGTCAGGATGCTTTCTAACAAGCAAAATAAACAGAACTTTTTACTCTTATAATTTTTAAAAATTTTTTTTGTTTTTGTGATCTTTTAAAAAAGTTCAGATTATGGTCTACTCACTTATATACGAGGGTTGTCCATAAAATAAGGTTCTCAAGGAGCTGTGGACGCTAGGAATGCTGCTAGGCGGGATTTGGCGAGACTTGCGTGTAGCTTGGCTCCCTTTCTCCCAGTTCCTACCCCGGCTGTCTACAACCTTCATTCTTGTCTTGGTAGCCGTGAAAGATGGAGCTTCCATTTGTTTCTCATGCCAGGTGTGAATTACGCTCTGTGATTAGTTTTTTGGGAGCAAAAAACGTTCCTCCCGTGGACATTCATTCCCAACTGTGGAAGGTGTACGGGGAAAAGTGTATGAGTGTGCAACATGTGCGCAAATGGTTCAGAGAATTCAAAGATTGACACACAGACGTCCATGACGAACAACGTTCTGGTCGGCCATCATTTTCGGACGCAGCGATTGCGAAAGTGGAAGAAACAATGCTGAAAGATCAAAAGGTGACGGTTCGGGACCTCAGCAAAATGATCCCTGATGTCAGCAAGTCCTGCATTCACAACACTTTGAGAGACTGCTTAGGATATGCCAAGGTGGATCCCGAAAATGCTGACGGATGACTACAAACGGCAATGTGTGGAAGCGGCCTGCAAATTTCTTCGTGCCTACAAAACCGATGGCGAGGAATATTTGGACTCTGTTGTCATTGGGGACGAGACCTGAGTCCACTACATGACACCGGAAACTAAAGAACAATCCAGTCAGTGAAAACATCCAGGCTCGCCAAAGAAGTTGAGGCATATTCTGTCTACCGGCAAAGTGATGGCGAGTGTCTTTTGGGACGGGAAAGGGTTGTTGTTAGGCGAATTCCTGCTTATCGGCACAACAATCAATGCGGATCGCTGCTTTCAGACGTTGAAGAACCTTCGGCGTGCAATTCAAAGCAAGAGGAGAGGCATTCTCACAAATGGAATGCGTCTCCATCCGGACAACGCTCGCCCAAACGCAACTCGTGTCGCAACGCATGCGAAAACGCATTGATCTAACCGGCAATTATGTCGTAAGATAGAGGGAAATCTAGGCTTTCCAAACATGTATTATTTAATGCCAATAAACATGTTTTTCATTGTGAAAATTTTTTGGGAACTTTATTTTATGGACCAGCCTCGTATATACACAATCAGACCAAAAGTCCAAAAAACTTTCTAAATCCCAATATGTTACATGAAAAATTCTTTTGATAAAAAATCACCTTTTTGGATTAGAAAACATTAGGCATAATTAAAAAAAATGATACATTTTTACATTGTGAACTAGTATCTACTATTTATTTTATAAATCTTAACCATAAAAGAAATCTGCATGGGAAGCAAAAATAGAGCAAAACATTATCCAGTGTTACACTATCTTGTTAATACATTTTCCTCTAAAAAAAGCTAAATTTGTGTATAAAATTATAGCTGTATTTATTATAGATGTATTTATTATATAAGTAATTTTAAACATACATTACCACATGCGTTCTTAAGATTAATTGCTACTGATAAAATCCGTTTTGTCTGAGATTTACATTTGAAATGCAAATAAAAAGGGAAAGGGATTTTACTGCTTTCTTCTAAAAGTTAAGTGGCTGTGTTTGAAATTTCCTGAAATATTTTGGGAAATAGGGAAAGTGTATTTTAGAGAAAAGTTTGTTAAATAGAAAATTCAATTTGTTATTTGGCAGTTATTTTACGAAGAAATTTCCAAAAAGTTCTTGGTTCTTCGATAAAATTGCAAAAGACAGAAATTCGCAAAATGGAAGTTTGTTAAATAGAAGTCATACTAAACATTCTTAAGTTTTTTAAATTTCAATCTACCTATAAGAAAATGTTATTGTATGAAACTGATTTTTTTATTGTTTGTTTTTAAAGTTTGTTTACCTGAAAGACCTATTATCCAAAAAAAAATTTTTTTTTCCTAACTTGTCTGGATGATTCCGGATATGGAACTTTCCACTGTATTACTGATTTTAAAGACAAATGTGTTGTTCTTAATTTTAGAATACGAGTACGGGATATAAATGAAGCATTTAAAGAGCTTGGCAGAATGTGCATGGTTCACCTAAAAGCTGACAAAGCTCAAACAAAGTTAAATATTTTACATCAAGCTGTTGATGTTATCACTAACCTAGAGCAGCAAGTTAGAGGTAAGAGAATGATCTAATTGTCTTTTTTTACTATTTATCTTCTGGAATATTTTTATATTGATTTCATGATCAAATCACATTGTAATTATTGATTTTGTTAAAAGCATGTATTATTGAATTAATCTAAGTTAAAAAGAAATACTGAGACTTAATCACTTAATTTTAAATTTTCTTTTAGAAATAGTTATTGCAAATGCAAATTTATTACAAGTTAAAATATAACTTGTCATGTACTAGAGATGAAGCTAGCCTCCACATTTTAGCTGAAAATAAATTTGTATTTGTAGAAAAATTTGTATTTGTTTTACAAAACTCTTTAATTTATCATTTCATATGATTTTTATTTGTTAAGAAATTAAATAATTTACATTATTTAACAAAAAATTTTATTTAATTTCATTATTTTATTTATTTTTATTGATGATTAGCTTTTATCTGAAATCTTAGTTTTGAATATTTTTTAATATCTTTACTGTAAAAGCCCAAAAATCTAGATTTCTACTAACTGTAATTTTTAGGAGTTTCTTAAAAAAAATTAATTGACCTTAAAAAATTGATATTTTTTGCTTTTAAAAAAAACAAAGCAAGTTTCATAGTAAAGTGATAAACATTAGTTTATCAAATGCTCTTGTTGTGCCTTTCTTTATTTCTTAATTTGTATTCCTTTCCTTTATTTGTATTTCCTTTCTTCCTTCCTTTCCTTTATTTGTATTTCCTTTCTTTATTTAATAATTTTTAAAGAAAAGGAGAAAAGATAAGAAAATAAGTCTGGAGAAAAGATAAGAAAATATGTCTTCTTTCCTAAGAATTTTTAACAGAAATTTTTTAATGTTTATTTCCTTTTTGCTTATTAAATGATCTTGAAAGTATAAAAACTGAGATAATAGCAAGCTTTTAAAATATTATATTTATGGAATATTTATTTTTGCAGAGCGAAATTTAAATCCAAAGGCAGCTTGTCTAAAAAGGAGAGAAGAAGAAAAAAATGAAGAAGGTCCCAAATTAGGAATGCATACTATTCCACATCCTCAAACTCTAGATTCCTTGACACACCAGCGGTTGACTACTTCTTTGCCAGTATGTTTTTCTATTTCTTTGCATTAACAAATTGATAAATTTTTGTTCAAAATTGTTTCTTTTAGGACAGCAATCAGTTTGTTGATTTTATGATGAGTGCTGATACTTTAGAATAATTACAATAGTGCTTCCTGTTAAAGGACACCCCAGACCAAAATTTTTGCCCCTGGAATTAAGGTGTCTCTTATTCAGAAACTGCATAAAACTGAAAAAAGTAATTAAATGAGAAATGAAGATTGTATTAAGATTTTAATAAATGTCAAAGTAAATAAATGAGATTATCACAGGTATTTGTTTAAAGTAAATTAAAAGCAAAAATTCCTAATTAAGCAAGTTTATTATTTATACAAATGTAGGAAGTGAATAACAGAGTTTTGTATTTAAAGAAATTCATTTAAAGTAATTTGTGATTCCGAGTTTGTTCAAAAAATTTTGATAACACGAAAATTAACTAAAGTTTTTCTTGCAACTTGCTAGTTTTTGCAAGAACTAAAAAGAAAAAAAAAAGAAAATGATATCAGTTTTTATTCTAATGATATGAAATGTTTTTCTAAATTAACACTTCATCATTATCCCTAATATATGCAGTTATCTGATCATCATTTCTTTCTCATTTATCCATGTTGCTCTCCTCCTAATACCACCCTGTCAGTTTCTGGATGGCAAGACATCTGTCTACTCCATAACATCTTTTGACTAAAATTCTTTGATTGCATTATTGCATGCTTTTTTTTCCCAATGTATTGTTCAATCATCAAAGACAGGGCTCAATATATTGACAAAGAAAATATTCTTCCCAAGTGTTTGGAAATCTCTTCTGAATTTTAACTTACAACACCTGGGATTCTCCCCATACCTGTTATCACCTTTTTTATTATTCAAATAACTTGTTAATACTTTGCCCTTATAACATATCTGCCAACTGTCCAGAATTTTTCGGATTTGTTCCTAATTTTTAAATCAAATCAGAAAATCTGATATTTTTATTAAAAATCTGAATTTTCGTAAAATTGCAGAATTTTAACTTTTAAACCAATCCCTTGTTCTGCTTGTCACAATCACTCTATATGTGATTATTGTGCAGAAGTAATTTTTAGTAGCTTTTAATTGGAAAATACTATCCAATAGCTGTTGCTTATCATTTCACAGGGTTCCTACACGGTCAGAAAAACCTGCAAAAGTCAGGCTATTCTAAAATTAAGCTAAAAAGTCAGGATTTTTTTTACATATTCATAAAGTTAGGAAAATAAATAAAAACTATAGGTCATTCAAAGACTGACTGGCAAAAATAAAGTTTCAAGGAAAAATTCTGCAATTCAAAATATGTAATTTCCTCATGATAACATTCCTCTTTCCCTGGTAGAACCTGTCCTGTTAGCAATTTTCCTCCTGTTTATTCAATGAAAAGGAATTTTTGATAGAGTTGCTAGGTTTATTGCTGTTTGTGTGAATAACTGGTTTACAGACTGAACAACAGTAGAAGAATCAAAAAAAGGAATTTTTACTGTTTTGTGATGCTGCCAAAAAAAAAAAGGAAGAGCAAAAGAGTTTCTTAGAGTTTAATCCACAGCAAAAGAGATTAGATAATTCNAAAAAAGGATATAGTGAACGAGGTTATAAAAATTCTTCTTATCCTCTCTCATGGTAACGCTACAGTCGAATGGGGGTTTTCAATTAATAAAAGCTTATTGGTTGAAAATTTCAATGAAGACTATTATTTCACAAAGGCATGTGTATGATTATGTTTCATTTATAAATGGAATTAAAAAACATAGCTGCTGCAACAGAACTGGATGTTCTTGATTCAGAAATTGTTAAAGAACAAAATATGTTGAGAAATATTATATAACATAAGAGCCCCTGAGTTTCTCCGGAAGCTTGCAGTATTACAGAAATAAATTTAAAAATACTGAAAAAAAAAAAAAGAAAAAGATATTTTTGATTTTATTTTTCTCACAAGTTGCATAATTTTTCTATCTGAATTTTTATTTGTATATAATTAACTTTTCTTGACTTTTTTCCCCTTTATATTTCATTATCTTTTAAGTTAAATTCAGTCAGTTTTAAGTGAAATTGTGATTTTTAAAAATTAATATTTTAATGTAACAAATGTTCTAGTATGTTTTAAGAGTAAATATTATTTGAGGATACTGATGCATATCTCGCAGATTTGATTAACCCTTCATATCCTGACGTCACTCATGCATTTGGTTCCACTTAACATTAAATAAAATAATATTTCCCTAATCCAACAGATTTTCTTGATCTTTTTATTTAAATAGTTTTTGTATCTAACTACAAAAACACACTAAAAGTTTAATCTAATCATGATAATTAAAAATATGTTTCACAAGTTTTCTGAAAATATAATTTGGCATATAAAGTGCTGTTACGCAATTTCACTTTAATTTATAAGTGTTTATCCTATTCAATCTATGATACTTATGACTAAGTAGTGTATTATTACTAATTGAAACTGCAATGTTTAAAGTTTTGTTGGAGTGGGAAACGGCGGGTCAGGAATTTTATTGTAAAAGGTCAGGAAAAACCTGCAAAAATCAGGATATTGTTTTCTCAAAATAGTGTAGGAACCCTGTTTCACTAAATTGAATCTTAATTAACTATTATTTTTAAAAAACTGTATTGTGGTATTTAAAAATTTGCATCAGAAATATTTGTTTATGATGTAGTTAAATATTTACCTGTGTTTTATAATTTGGTATGGGGGGCAGAGTTATCGACCGTGTCAACCTTCATCTATCTAAAGGTACCTCGTGATTGAATCAAGTTAGCACGTCTTTTACACCAGTGAATTAATGTATAATATTCATAGTGGTAGTTACGCTACAATACTCCCCCACCAGAATTTTATCAGGGATAGAATTTGATGAATTGATAACACTAGTTGCTGTACTTGTGAAAGACCGGGAGAGCTCTATTGAGTGCCGAATGTGAGAGGTGTATTAACATCATGTCATAGTGTTCGTTGTTGCATTTTGCAGTCACAAGTAGCAAGTCAACTACTGTTCAATGTGGACTACTCATCAAAGTAGGCGTCAAGTTATTTTTCGAAGTGGGCGTTACTGCATGTTCAAATCACGTCCGGAGGTCACCAGTGTGGGGGGCGGAGTTATCGACCATGCCAACCTTCATCTATCAAAAGGTACCTGATTGAATCAAGTTAGCATGTCTTTTATACCAGTGAATTGATGTTTAATATTCATAGTGGTAGTTACGCTACATTGGAAAAGAATAATTATATTAATAGGTAATGTTTTTTTTAACTATTAAACCGGTATTCCTAATTATATAATATTAATATAGATTTCCCACGAAAGATGGTGTTTATAATTTTTTTTACTAATTTACATAAGGTATTTAAATATATGTCTATTAATGTTATTATTTGATAGTCAGGGGTCTGTTCAGACATTTTGTGAAAAAATTACTCGTAATTTTTGAATATAAAATAAACGTTAAGTCACATTCTTTCAACCAGGGTCCTGCTTTTATGAATTTGAGCAAATAGGTCCGGTTATAGCAAAAAAGTTTTCAAGGAGTTTTTAAATTGTAAAGAGATAAGAGATTGTGCTCACCACTGTAAAAAACAGCAATTGCTGCTTCTAAATTAGAGATGCAATGTGTAAATATTTGGTATTTAGCCTATACTGCTGAAAGCAGAATATTCATATCGTACAAATAATGGAAGAAGCTTCTGCCAAAGATAAAACTTAATTTGTTTATATCCATTTTTCTTGTTTCCCCCCCCCCTGGGAAGGGTTTATTCGATTAACAAAACAATAATGAAGATAAATTTGTGAAGGGTTCGATTAAGAGAAAAATCATTTTGTGAAGGGTCCGTTTTTATGAAAAGATATTTTGTGAAGGGTCTTTTACCGGACCCAAATTTCTTCTACACAGACCTCTGATAATTAAATTTTTGTCTTACTCTCGTAATTGGTGCTTATAATTTTGTCGCATATAGTATTCCTAATTTTTGATTCCTAAGGTTGGCAGCTATGTTATAAGTCAACCCTCTTCTTTTTCCTTGTTATAACTCGTACTCCTTGTGAATAAAAATCTCGGTTTTAAGTTAATTTGTTTTCTCAAAATGGTGCTAAATTGTCTATATTTTAAGCTCCGCTTCCATGAATAGCCCTGATGTCAGGAGACAATCAAAGATGTTTATCTACTATGTCTACAGCTACTTAAAAAGAGTTGGTATCATCTGAACAAAGTGCCATTTTAAATAAATTCTTTTTAACCACAAAATAATTATGTTAAAATATTTATAAGGCTTTTATTTAACATCATGATGTAAGTATATTTCCGTAACATAGAAGTAGTAGCTTCAAGCAAAGATTTTAAGCAGTACCCAGTGTATCAACTTCTTGTTTCCTATTCCAACTTATTGAAATGCTCTTGCGTGGGGGAAAAAGCAAGATTTGCAGACACCATAGTAACAGAGGGAGTAAAGTGAACAGAGTGGGCAATTTACCTGTCATTGAAATGCTTACTCTATTTACAAAGACCATAATTTTTCTCAGAATCCCTCTTTGTTTCAATACTGAAAATGGTTCTGCATGATAAACTGAAACTACAGCATGTCTGTTAAGTGGCATTTTTCAAACATATAAAGAAAAAAAAAGTTAATCCTTTCATCACTTGGATAGCAAAGAATATTTCCTTATTTATTTTGTCTTTTTTTAAAAAAAATTTCTGTCTCATGTATTGAGATGTAAATGCATTAAGGCTAATATTCTAAGGGACCAACAGAATTGAAAATTAAATATATAGAGTCTCTTATTTTGAGACATCTAAATGGTCAGAGAGCAATATATGTTCAAAGAAAACTTAGTCTTTAACAGGGTTCTATCAAAAACTTTTTGAATAATGTGGAGGCATCCTAGAAAGCTCTGGTTTTATTTTAAAAGAATTTTACTAATTTGAGGTATTCATGGAGATGATATTTATTCACTTATTTGTCTGCATCAAAACAGGCTTATGAAAACATTGTAACAGAACACTCAGTCTGACAATTTTATCTGTACACTATAGAAAATATTTTGTTAGTAAAATTTCTATGCTGATTTGCTACTTAAGCATATTTGTACAAAAAGTTTCTTTCTAAACTTTGCGTCTTGATACTAAAAATATTTTTTTAATCAAGATTTAATCGGAAACTAAATTTAGGATTCCCACATGAAAAAAACTGAAAACTTTATGGTCTGCAGCTAATAGAGTTTACAACTCTCACATGTAGAAATTAATTTTTAGAAGAATTCAGAGTAAAATTTTTTATTTTATTTTTACTATTGCTAACAAACTTTTCTTGATCATTAGGGAATTCTTGCTCCTATGACATTATCAAGTCAGTGTACAACAACATTTGCTGACGGACATGACATTGACCCACCTCTTTTGCCTTAAAGACCTTCAACCTATGGAGGATAAGGAAACCTAAACATAAGTAAATATTTTTTTGCTAGAAATGCTTTGCTTTACTCGAAGCAAAAAATGAATAAATAAGTAAAATAAAAAAAATAATAAATAATAAAACTGACAATGTGTTTTTACTTTAAAACATACTTTTTTGGAATATTTTTTGAAAAAGTTACTTTAATTTTTAACTGTTCCAATTAATTAGGATTAAGAAGCAAATTATTATGATAGTTAATAGTTAAATATTTCCTAGATGCAGTTAGTTTTAAATGTGCTTTTCATTTATGATCTATGTTTGCCTTGTTGCTACACTGTTATCTCCTTATAATTTTTAAGCTCTTTGAATTTAAGTATCAAATCCATTGATATATAAAACTTAATTCATAAATGATACTCATATGTAGAAATATCACTGAGAAAAAAAATACTCTGACATGAAAGATACACTGACAGTTGGCAAAAAAGCCCTTTTGAGTCAGTGTCTAGAAATTTACATATTCAGTTACAATTTTAACTTTCAAACAGTTAAATGTAACTCAAAATGGCCATGTGAAAAAACTTAAATTAAGAGAAAAATTGACTTTGGTCAAAAAGTAAGTAGATATTGCTGCATTGGTTTTTATACATAAATTTAGCTTTCAAGCCAAAACACAATCCTGTGGTCAAAAAGTTAGTAGATATTGCTGCATTGGATTTTATACATAAATTTAGCTTTTGAGCCAAAACACTATCCTTATAAACCAAGTACTTGAAGCTATATGGCCACAACTGGTTCTTGAATTAGTGTAACTTGAAGATAACTATTAGCAATTTGGTACATACTGAGAAATCTATCACATGATAATTTATTTTACTACAATACGAAGTCCTATATCCAGATGTCCACTTACAGCAAATGTCTATTTTCTGCACAATATTTAAGAATCAAAAGTAACAAATCTCTTTTTCTTTTTCATAAATTTATATGTATATATATTTATCCTTGCATCTGTTTAAAAATCTATTAGTTATAAAGATTTTATTTTCTTGCTGTTTTTCCATTAGCTATATATTCACTATCGAATTGTTGAAAAGAGGAACTGTTGTAGGAGAACAAACTTTGGTGACCAGCAAACTCGTACAATATACACGATCACCAATTTGTCACCAATTGAAAATGTGCCAAATGAGTTGAACAGAAAATTTGTCACCGTCACGAAATTTCTTTTTACCATAACTAAAATCGAAAAAATAATCTGCCTCTTCAAAGAATCTTTGTCTTTTCGAATTCCTGAAGAAAAAGAATTTGGTTTTACTCTCTTTCCTACTAATGCAAATGTGATTTAAAATTACTTTAGCATGTTTTAAAATTGCATATCGCGATTCATTGCATAAGATAGTTTTTCGTATTTTTGCAATTTTATATCAAATATCGTGATTCGTATTTTTGCTATTTAAAAGCCAGCCACTATTATGATTCGTCACACGATTTTAAAATGAAACTACATTTGTATTCATATGATTTTAAAACCAAACATCGAGATTCAAATTAACACGATTTTAAAACTAAACATTGAGATTCGCATTAATGCAATTTTAAAATTAAATGGCGAGATTTAAATAAAGAAATAAAATCTTTCATCAATATTTTTTTTTAACATGGATAAATGTTTCCTACATACTTATTTCTTTGCTCAAATTTCAGGTATTTTTTAATTATTTATAAAGTGTTTTAGGCATTTGGCATATTTCGATTTCTATTTACAGCTTTTTTGGTTTTTTACCAAACTCATTTGTGTGGTATGAATCAATATAGAGTTCTATAAAAATGAAACATTTTTTTAAAAAATCTTTTATTTACAAACCAATTTTGCTAAACTGATATGGCGACAAAGGGTTGAAACTAGTTGCAAGGCATTGTGCGCAGAAAGTTTTCTTAATTGAGATTTTTAATTTGTGTTCCCAGAAAATTTTTCATTTTATCTAAGTCTGATGAGCAGAATGAATGATTCTGAATATTAATTGTGTTTGAAAAAAGAATATTAATCAAGCTTTGTTTCCCTTTAAATTATAAATGTTTTCATCAGGGTTCCCGCGGCCTTGAAAAGTACTTGAAAATGATATTGAATCCTTGAAAAATTCAAAATGACCTTGAAAAGTATCGAAAACTCAGGAAAACAGCCCTATTTCCTGCATTTCTGTGTTTAACTTTTTGACGCACGTAAGTGTGAGAGAATGACTTTCCCGCCTTTCAGATGATGACACGTACTGTTTGATTTTAAGATTTTATGCATGTTTGGCTGATTTTAGGAATTTTAAATATTGGGAACTGCGCCTGATTCTGACAAAATTTCGATTCTTATTCAGGCAATTTTAATATCAATCATTGTTCTTCATATTAAACTGATTTAAAAGCTATGTGTTGCAATTCGTTTTCGCGTGATTCAAAAATTGTACTTTCAATTCCCATTAAAGCAATTTAAAAATCTAATATTGCGATTTGTACTTAAGCGTTTTTAAACCCAATATCGCGATTAGTTTTTCCGCAAGTTTAAAATCCAATGTCGCTATTCGTATTCACGCATTTTGCAATATCAAACATCGATGTTGCAATATCAAACATCGATGTTGTAATATCAAACATTGGTTTTCGTATTTATACTCTATTTAAAAACTACTCGTTACGATTCGTGTTCATGTGACCATGTCAAGTGCGTATGATCGATGCTACTGAAAAAAAATTAATTCAAGTATGTGTGGTTAATTAAAACAGTCAAAGTGACCAAAATTGTTAGTAAGAATCTATCAGAAGATATTGAGGTGAAAGTTGGCAACTGATTCAATTTAAAATGGTTGACCCGTAATAAATTTAAAATGATAATTAAGCCGCAACATCCAATAATTGATTAATTTTCTTTAATAGAAAATTTCAAAATTATATTTAAGAACAATTTTAATTTAACTGTCTAAATGCTTCTGCCACTTTAAATATTAAATAAAAATCTCCCGGCAGAGTTTTTAAATATCTAATTGATATCACAGTATTATATTATATATCCCCCGTCCTGCCCGAATTTTTGCTTATTCAGAGGTTGTATACCTAGCTTAAAATAGGCCTTGTGCAAAATTCAAATTTGACGTTTTAATGAATCATGAATTTTATTCTTGACTTGATGCCAATTACCCTTGCTTTTTTTTATACTTAGATCACTTTCTGAAATCAAGAGAGCAATGGAAGTCTTATTTTTCAGTACTGCTATTATCGACTGTCAACTATTATCGTTAAAACATTTTAGTTTAAAATGTAACATTTTAGTCTATCTTTACTAAAATTTAAGTCCTTGAGAATTTTATAATAAATCTTAAAAAGTCCTTGAAAAGTACTTGAATTTTATTTCTAAAGTAGAGCATGAACCCTGTTTCATTAAAAAAGATCTACTTAATTCTGTTCTCTGTTTTATTTAACTTTTTTTTATTATGTCAGATTAATTTATTGTTGGAATCCGAGGCTTGTTTTTTAATGTTTTTTTTTTATTTGATTATCTGCTCTTCTAATTCTTAACATTGAATGGGAAAAAAACAATTTTTATTTAGGAAAGAGGAAATTATAAATATCGTTTGCTAATTTTTTTCCTATTATATATATATATATATATATATATATATATATATCAGG